AGGCAAATCCCAAAACCTAAGTCTATGGAAACAAAAATTGAAGGCAAGAATCTGGAAAACACACAGAAAACAGAAACAAGAACATGATTCAGACTCAAGAAAACGAGCAAAAACTCAAAGAACACTGAGTACAGTTTGTACAGGTGAACAAGGCCAAGAACAGTGGCAAAATAAGCAAGTGTATGAACAATGTGTACATAAAGGTCATGGATCAAAAGTAGATCGAATAGACATGCGAATGATGAAGTTTAAATCACAGACAGAGGCTGAAGAACACGAATGTGTTTGTCATGGCAAGTAAGCAGAGGCAACAGAAATATGAAAAACTAAAGAAGGGGGAAAAAGTAACTCACCGAAGAAAAAGAAGCCGGAGTGAGGTATGCCGAAGTCAGATGATAGTAGCAATCGGAGAAGGGCAGCAAAAGTCTAGCCGGAGGAGGTGAACAAAGTGGTTACAGAGCTTGAGAGCTTGAAACAATGGAGGATTTGGGAGAATAGAGAGAGAGAACTTGCACGAAAATGGTGGTAAAGAAGTGAAAAGACGGAGAGAGAGATAAGTGATTTTGATCAAACACATGAAATGGCGGCAAAATGGTAATTATGGTGCCTAGGACGACGTGCTTGTCAGTCGACGCACGCGAGTACGATGCGACTTGATGGCGTGTGTCAGGCACGGCTCAGTGGGGGAAAGACGCGTGGCAGAAATGGTTGAAATACTGTGCGTGACAGCTCATACGCGTGTTAAAACTCTTGGAGTTCTTGATTTAATGGAACAGGACCTCGGCTAGGAGGACGATGTCGGCTGGGAAACTTGAACAAACTTGGTTATTAGTTCTGAAGCATTGATAAAAACAGACTAAGTCTTGGTCGTATTGAGCTGATGAATGATGACCTTGGTAATGAAGGATAGGGCAAGCTTAGCCGACATGCTAAATGGAAGAAACGATATAGGTTCCATCACCTCAGGATGCCGAGGTAATAGAATCTAGGGGCAGTTGTGGAGACATAATTTTTGAATGACAACACGTAACCAAGGTGGCACCGATGTGCCAGCCGAGGTGCCATGTGTCCTGGTTATGACGCCGAGATTATCTACGAAGATATCGGAATCCGAGATGAGCGGATAAGTTGTAAGACTCCTGCAGTGAGGGGGGGCTTCAACCAGGATAAGGATAAAACTCTTAAGGAGTTTATCTTTATTTATTTGGGAGTCCTGGATGGACATTGCGCCAGAGCCCGTTGAAGCTAGGCTTCTAATGGGTTTAGGTCAATGTTGGCTATAAAAGAGAGGCACCCTCGTGGGTCTAAAAGATGCTTTTTGTATTCTGAATAGTGAGTTAAACAATTGCTATCTTTGAGAGATAACTGACTTGATCGTCGGAGTGCCCCCGGGTGGACGAACCACCGCCGTAATCTTTTCTTTTTGACAGGTCGTTCGGCCTTAATCTATTCTGCTAGTGTTCTCCAGTTGAGTACCTGTTTGGCAGTGTGGTCAGAAATTGACACACACAGATGTTATTTATTTATCATCAAGTTTTTTAAAATATTTTTTCAAAAAATAGATTTTAAAAGTTGAATGAAAAAGATAATTTACACTAAATTTTAAATGATATCAATCTTAGCTCTCAATTACATTAAATAGAACATTTATAACTGCTAGATTTATTTAATTTTCATTTTTAAGTATACAAATATTTTTTAAAAATTGATTTATTTTATTATAGATAGGAGGTTAAAGTAAAGTGTAAATATCATTATTCATACTATGTAAAAACATAATTGGCCCACTCCATTAGCGTTGAATCATTTTGTAAGTTTTCTTTAAATAGCTTAATTTTTTTAAAAATAAAAAGTGACGTAGATAAGAATTGTACAATCACCTAATGCATTGTTAATCAGCGTAGAACAGTTGTAACTTGCTAGCAAGACTTCTCGACATAAGTCAATGATTTATGCTTCATACCCCCACTGGGGGTCGACCCCCAGTGAGGTATAGTTCGTTTCCCCGAATTGGGCAAAAAAAAACTGTTTTTTTTTTTTTTTTTTTAGTTTCAGCCAGTGGGGCGCGCCACGTCACTGGCGCACCCCCACTGTGTATGTATCGCGATTGTCAGCGTAGAACAGTTGTAACTTGCTAGCAAGACTTCTCGACATAAATCAATATTGGCATCAATTACTTGTAGTTGCTTTTAATTTTTTAAATTTTTGTGTAAATTGTATTGTATATGTATTATTCTATGATTAAGTTGTCCGAGGTAGATTTCTTTGAATATTCTATAGTCTAAATTGTGAAATTAAATAAATAGATTCACGGATAAATCAAAATTATATACGAAGAACACATGCTTAGAATTACAACTAAATTATAATAGAAATACCAAACAGATTAAAATGATAAAGAAAGCAAATCGAAATCTGCACGGTAATAGTTTCCTTAAAACAGATTTTCACCGCTTCACGGGTTGAGTGCTTGAGGAATTTCGATGTCTGTCTCCCAAGATACAACAGTCAAAAACCAGCTACGGCAGAAGCACTCTCTATCTAGCTTAGCGAACAAAACCCGTGGCAACACTTTCTCACTATGGGAACTTTTTGGTAAATTGACTTGTAAAATGAAAGCAAAATTTGTTGTATTTAAACTAGACAGGAGAGTCTCAATTTATACATGTATAGAGGAGAGAGGAGGAGTCTCTAACCTTTATGGCTGGTCACTAATGCACCATTAACCCGCCTTTATGGCTGGTTATTAATGCATCATTAACCTCTGCAATAATACAAGAGTTATAAACATGTTATACACACTAATCCCACTACCTCTTTCATGAAACTAACTTCATGAGTTAATTTCTCATTCAATCCTCAATGGTTTTTGGCCATTCTTTTTGTGGTGTAAAAATCTCATTGCAAAACATCTAAACCCATTTGGACTCAACACAATAGATGGTTGGGACCCACATTAATATTTAATTAAAGTCACCAAAAATCCATAACTCTTTTGCTAAGCTCTTGACACAAAACACACTGTAAAGTGAGTCTGCTAAGCTGTTGAACACATAGTTTCGGCAAAGATAGTCTGTCTGCTTTCATGTGTCAAGTGCCATGATTTTCTGCTTGTCTGGTTCATTCTTTGCCACGGTTGGAGGATCCTCGCTCAAAACCTTTGCAAGGTTCAGCCTGGTCAAGTAGAATAATATCTTTTGTTGCCATATCTTGAAGTTTACCCCATCAAATTTCTCTGGGCGCTCATAGTGATTGAGCGGTCCTCTCGGAACGGTTTGAGTAACACTAGGGTTAACTACAGAAGTCACAGTTGGGGTTAGCAAGTCAGTTGCCCAGGGATTCAGATCCCCACCAACATTTGCAGTAGCAGCATCATTGGTGATAGATGGTTAGGATCCACTTTAATATTTAATTAAAGTTGCCAAAAACCCATTTTTTCAAGCATATTTTGCATAGCTCAGTAAGAGACACACATTGGATGCTTGAGATTTGATATGAAAAATTGTGTACTAAAAGTTGTCAATTTTTTTGATTCTTCAGTCAATTGAATTTGTCAAAATCCACTTTTACAATCAAATTTGCTAAAGATTTTCGATTCTTTGGTTAAGTTAATCAAAACATTTTTTCGTGGAATAAAATATCCATCAAATTTTAAATTTTCATTTAGCTATTTATAGTTGACTATCATTCGGGCTTTTCCTCTTTTAATTTCAGCATGGTTTCTTACCATAAAAGCTGGGCTAGAGTGAGAGTTTCTAGTTTCTTTAATTAAATTTTTGTCTAAAAGTTTCTGGAGTTGAATATCAAATTCATCTATATCTTGTCTAGTATAGATCATTGGTCTTACTCTAATAATAACAGTAGGGTCTTTCAATTTTAAACTACAATAACGTGAACTATGTTGCCATAATTTTAATAGATGTTTACTAAAAATTTTCTTTTAAAATTTTACAAGTCTAATGTGATTCATCAGTAGTTTTGATGATGAGAGTTAAATTACGCAAATAAAGTTAGAAAAAACATAACGTCTTTTACATACCCAAATAAAGCCTCTATAGAGAAAGTGGACGAATGTGTGGTATTTACATTATGTATGTGACATCCACAAACTCACTCTTTCTATAGGCGTGTTTTAGGCGTGCGAATGGGTGCGATTGTAGCATTGCTAATAAAGTTAATGTCACAACTTAATATTTTTGGATAATCAAAAATATTATGAATCATGAAAAAGCTGTTTCAAAATCAATTTCAAAATAAAATTGTGTGGTGTAAATTTAAAGTTTGTGAGATATGGACTACACCCAAAATGATTTTGATTCATAAATGTGTTTTTCTGAATATTTTCTTAATATTCTTGCTGAGTTTGCAGCATTATTGTTGTGCAATTGATATAAGTTATTGCCACATAAACAAACAAACAGACCCAATAGTCCATTGAAAAATCTTTATACTAGTTAAAGAATATTTGAAAATTAATTAGCTTTTCTCTCCCAAATTTTTTTAAGAAAATTTAATATCTTCCCCCTAAGCCATTTTTTTTTTTGGAAAAATATTAGAAGTATTATAAACTTGAATTATACAATTTTTTTTATTACATATATATTCAAGACTAGAGGGAAAATATGTATACATTAAGTTAGGGTTCGTTTGGCATTGGCTAATATAACCAATTTTTTTTGTGTTAGGACATTTTTAGTCTTGTTTGATTTTTATTTTGAGGCTTTTTTGACTTTTGTGAGAGAAAAAGTATAATAATTATTATAATTAAAAAATAATATTTTGTCTTATTGACTTTTGTAATCAATTTTGTCTTTTTGTGATTATTTAGCTCCAGGGCTTATCTAGTTTAATTTTTTTTTGAAAAACTGTCAACTTCCCAGTGTCACCTAATGTAAGTATGTAACTCGGCTTTCTTTCAAGAGAGGGTGACAATAAGAGGTTAATATTACCTTAACTCTTTCTTAAAGATCACCATTCTCAAAACTTGAAGTAAAATCAAAGAAGAATCAAAGGAATCAAAAAATTTATTGACTATAAGTACAGCTTCTAAACAGCCTTCCAACAAAATTGCAATCGATCACAATGAAGATGCCCAAGTCATTTGCAGCTTCATTTCTCTTCCTGATATGGCGTTTTATATCATCTGGTAACTCTACAAACTGAATTCAATGCTTCCATTTTTCTTTCTCATACATCTACAACTTCAATTAGGGCCACAAACGAAGATCTGTTCTTGAACCTCTCGAGTTTGGCTAGCTAGATTTTATTTTTGATAATATATAAATTATTTTCTATTATTTTATTTGTTAATGTTTGATTTTGTGCAAAGTTTTTTTTTTTTTGATTTTGTGCAAAGTTACATATTTAATTAATAAAATTATTAATAATATGAGCCTTCTATTAATGTTTTTCTCATAATCTTATATTTTCCTCTTAATATGCAAATTAATTTAGGCTTATTTTTCTTTCCAAGCTCAAACTCAACTCATTTAAATAATCGAGTTGACTCGAGTCAATCTCAATTTGTCAACTACTATACGAGCCAAGCTCATACTCGATTTTTTAAGCTCAACTTGAGCTCGATTAATTTTTTGCTAGCTGAGCTCGAACATTCTAAAATTCAACTAGACTTATTTGCAGTCCTAACAACATCTCTATTCTAGTAGGCAATTCAGTGGCACAAGCATACACAATTTATGCGACAAACACATGCCCCTTCCCAATCTGGCCTGCAACCGCCCCAAACAAAGGGCAGCCAGTGATAGCCGATGGCAGTTTCTACCTCCCACCCGGCCAAACCAAAGCCTTCCAGGCCCCTGGAACATGGAGCGGCCGCATTTGGGCCAGAACTGGCTGTGACTTCACCTCCAACCTCAAACCTGCTTGTGAAAGTGGTGACTGTGATGGACAACTTCACTGCAACGGCAAAATAGGCCTCCCACCAGCCACACTAGTCGAAATGTCAATCCAAGTCGACAAAATGAAACCGAGTTTTTATGATGTGAGCTTAGTTGATGGATACAATCTCCCTATTTCTGTCTCAACAAACCCAATGGCTACAAAATGTCGGATTAGAGGGTGTTCGAAAGATATGAAGAGAATGTGCCCACAAGAGCTTCAGGTTTTGCGCAAAGACGGTGAAGTTGTGGCGTGTAAGAGCCCGTGTTTGGCTTTTGATGCTGATGAATTTTGTTGCAGGAATGAGTTTGGGAGCCCGGAGAAGTGCAGGCCGAGTGTTTATTCGACGATTTTTAAGGATGTTTGTCCTGATTATTTTAGCTATCCATTTGATACGCCGACTCCATTGGTGAACTGTACCTCGGATGAGCATGTGATAACTTTTTGTCCTTCGAATTGGGGGAGTGGTGTGGCCAGGATATGTAGAGCAGAGTTCAAAACAATTGCTTCTTGTATGGTTTCCTTACTATTATCTACTTCACTGTGGTAATAGTACTTAAAGGTCATGTTTGATTCACAACACTAATAGTGAAGTATTAATAATCCAATTAAATTAGTGTGGTATTCACTATCCAATTGGATTAATATCCATTGGATTAATAATCCCATCCCTACCCCATTACTAATAATCCTACAAATTTGTTGGATTAATTATCCATTGGATTATTAATCCTAAATCAAAATTTTAAAACAAACATGGGATAATTGGGCCCACGGATTAATAATCCCAATCCCATGCTTCAATCCACTCAATCAAACATGCCCAAAAGTTATTATTTTGTCATTGATAAGGATCAAATCTGTATACCTAAGTTATTATTTTGTGAGAACGATCAAATTTGTATGGTCTAAATATTGTTTATGTTGTGTTTATCTTACTTTTGATCTTTTATTGAGAAACTCCAATATAGATAAATTAGTAATAGTGGGTTAATATATATCATTAAAAATTTCAATTCATGTATTGATCTGTGTAAGATTGCTCGTTCCGCCTAAACCTTGCACTGCACACATCTCAATTCTCTTACTATATGTTGATTTGAATATGACATGATTAATCAAATATTTTTAAAATGTAAATTCATAACAATATTTTGCAATTATCTTGGTTTTAACAATAGTAAATACATTCTCAAAAGTTGAAACAACGTTTGAAAAAGAAAAATGATAATTTTTGAAATTTTTTGTCAAACAGATTATTTTTGTGCTTTTTAAAAATAAAAACATAAAATAAAACCATATATATAGGCGATCATCATTTTGTTTGTACTTTTTGCCTTGCCAACCTGGCACAAATGTTGGGCTAGATTATAATTGGGCTCGTCATTGGGACATTGGGAGCTCAAAGCCCATTATGCTTTTGACCAATTATGGACAACAGTATACAAATCAATCTCTACCAAAAGGCCATTTAAATTATAAGGGGAAATTACCCATAGGTCCCATGGGAAACATGTGATCTCCATTTAATCTCATAACTTTTTCACTACACCCAAAAGTCCTTTCCCCT